AGCTCAATCATCTGTGCGTATACAAAGTTTCAAAGTGATTGGGGCAGTGGGTCTGTCGTGGCGCTTGCTCGACGAACCAGGCTCAAACTCATTTCCTCCACCATACATTTTTTTGTCGAAATTTTTGGCGGGGAGGGCCCCAGTCCCTTAAGGGTGGACTTTTTCGACAAGTTCGAATCTGTCCAGGAAAAATCGCCATTTTCGATCCCCTCCCCTTCCCCCTTCCGGTTAGCAAATTTCAGCCTCGACGGGAAGTTTGACAGATCTGAATATTTTAGTACTTAATAAAGAGAGGATTCTTAACTGGAATATCCAATAATATGTACGAAATTTAAAAACGGCGTCTCGCGAGACGCGGTCAAATGTAGTCATTCCAGATTGCGCCAAACTTCACAAGTCTTCTAAATCGAATCCAATCCGAACAAACTCAACGATCAATGCATCCTAGCTATATTTTCAAGAATTTAATGTGCGCAGATTTGTTGATTTTGGTCCTGGGGTTGCGAAAAGCGATTTTTTACCCATTTGGCGACTTTTTATTCCCTTAGGAAGCCAGGGCATGAACCCTTACATATTTTTCGCAGATTCCAACGCCCACAGAATGTGCTGCCAATTTTTTATCGACTAATATGGACAGATTTCTGTGGGCGCAGTGGTTGATTTTCTATGAATTTTTGAAGAGTTTTGGTTTTCGAGTGCGATTTTTCTTTCCCAAAAACCGAAGTCAAATGTCTTCGAAGAAAGGGAAAAGGTGAACACCTCAAGTCAATCGGATTCGGTTCTCCCAGATCTTCGAGCCGATCTGCTCCAGGTAACTATGCCTTCAACACAAGCAGATATCAAACTGACGGCTGCCACCTTCAGGGTCTCGCTCCGTAAACGATGTTAGTGCCAACGAGGCCATGGATGTCGATAAGGATGCTGCCACCGACGACTGCGAGCATGATCAAGGTATGGCGCATCTCGATTCGATCGACAGCGATTGACACGCGTGCAACAGAAAACTCGTCTTAGGATACTGACCGCATGTAAAGGCGTTGGACGCCGCAAAACAGATTTCGCCGCAGCATGCGTTTCATATAAATGGCTCGGTCTCAACGTCAAAGTCGTCAATGGTCTTGAAAAGTATGCCACCAACGCACGCAAGCTTTCCATCGAGACATGCAACGCGCTCAATTTGATTGAGAATCACGAATGGACTCCTGGCCTGATCACAAACGGTCCGCGACGCACTCTGCTCATTGAATACCTGATAAGCCAAGATGTTATCAAGGAATCTCTCGTCATTATTCGCACGGCGAGACAGGGAACTCTGTTCACGACGACCAAGGCAACTCGCGAGCTCCAAATTGTTCCATTTGGCCCTGATTCGCTCGGAGAGGCAAAGTTTTGGTTCAAAGTTTGATGCTCCAATAAAGTGGTGTAGTTGCGAATAGAATTACGCGTGATCAGGAAAAGGGGGACCGAAAGGATTTGTCAAATTCGGGGTTTATTGAAATTTCGTAATGGGGAGTGAATGAACTGAATCGTAATAGAGAAATCATAATCGAGGGGAAATATAGTGAAGAGCGTTGACTCATGTGCCATGACTAATAATGAAGGTGAGAACGCTTCTACAACAGCTCGCACATACCTTCTAGAGCCCTCCAAACGCAGCTTTGATGTCCCATATGTACATATCATGCTTCATCGCCGTCTCGAGTGGATGGCAGTCGCGCGACATGACTTGCCGAGACCACCCTGACTGACACACAAATATGTCAAAATAGCTCATAATCCCAAAAGAGTAGCTCAAATGTCAAGAAGATACTTATCTCATCCAGATTGCCAAATATCAGCAGCCAGAAACGTCTGAGGGTGATGCTGTGGGACCCGGCGTTCTTATGGGGACCAGATGGCCGTCAAAAAGCCATTTTTCCTATGGCTCGAGAGTCCACCCTTAATTCGGTGTTAGGGGGGCCTGAGGTTGGAGCTTGGATCGGGTGAAATTTTTGCATCGTATATCGCACATCTTTGCAGCACACCACATGCATGCGTCGATACTGTTCGCGGAGATGCTCCAGATCGTGGTGTCAGTAAATGCTTGAAAATTTTCCGTCGTTAAAAATCCCAAGCCTTCCGGCTCATCGCGTGAATGATGCACAGCAAATCACTATTGGCGCTTGTCATGTCGCGTTTTGGTTGTTGCATTCGCGGATGGAGCGCAGTGCCCCGATCTCGCTACCGAAGAAAAAAAAAGTTTCTTCAACGATGCAGAATCTGATTTTTTTCACACATATCCCTGTAAATTCTCGTTCGATTCTTCGGTATGGGGGAGGCCGGTGCCGTTGAATAAGAAGAGAAAAAACGGGGCCCTGGATGGAGCGCGTTTAACGATCAATTCGATGAAAATTTGTTGATTGTTAAAACTGTCAAGCTTGATCACTCGGCGAACAATTTTTCACATAGATCTCCTCGGTGATGGACAGTCCAATCACTTCTGTAGACTGGGCGGTTGCGATGTCGCCCGTTTGGACAACAACGATCTTTATGGAAAAATACAAAAAATAACGGATCCTAGATCGTCTAGTGGCTAAGATTCCGCCCTCTCACGGCGGCGACCGGGGTTCAATTCCCCGTCTGGGAGCTTCTTATTGCACGTTTATCCTTTTACCAATTGCGTAGTGATGTTTGATTTTATGGAAAAAAATATTTTGTAATTTTTGATTTTGAGTGTCCCCTTCAGTGTATTTTTCAAAGAAAAATCCGAGGTTAGGTCATCAACGAAAATTCGGATTCAGTACTTTGGATCGGTTCGAATCATCCCGGCAGGATTGACGCCTCCTAACTGAGTTTGTCTTCTTCTTTTTATTCATGTCCACGGAATGTTTATTCGAAATGGCACTCGAAGCGTTTATTCTGGGTTACAATGTGAATGCTCTCCATATCATGCGATTGGATGCGATCGCGTGAGACTCCAAGGAGACTGTAACCGATGATGGAAGTTGAGTCATGTCTTTTTTTCTCAAAGATTTACATTTCTGACATTTTGAAAGTTCTTCTTTTTCAAAAAATCAGGAATTGGATCGTTCTTTAGTCTCACCCACTAGGAACTCTGCGGGGGAGCCTTGAAGGGGGTGCGTTACAATGCTGGTGCGTAGACCTAGGGGAGAAATAAGATTATCACGGCGGGTGATGGCTTTTAACCACGCTTAGAAGGTCACGTCGTCCCCCCCTTCGTGGATAAAAATTTTCATCCAAACGTGGGCTGTCTCTTTCAAAATTAGAGGATGCGCGAAAACACAAATATGTCGACGAAAAAACTCCTCAATGGAGGATGTGGGGTTTGAACCCACGGCCTTCTGGATGCAAACCAGACGCTCTACCACTGAGCTAAACCCCCATGAAAGTTATTTTAAGAACGGCTTTTATAATGTTTAAAAAAAGGCGAAGGTAAGGAGAGAGGTATAAAAGTGTTGTTGACGAACTTCGGAAAAATGGAGGTGTTCTCAATAGCGGATGACCTGGGAACCAACAAACAGTCATCACGTCCACGAAACTTCACCGTTCACACTCCCTTCTGATGAGGAAACACATTTGGTTACTGGCCAAACCAAACTATTCAAACAGTGTCCATTATTTTTTTTAAACCCAAAGGGGGTCAATTTCAAAAAATAACAAATAATCGATATCCCAAATTCAATCTAGGTGTTCTATCGAAAACGGCGCAAACTCTTGCAATTTCCTAACAAATTGGCTAAAACCTGGGTAAACCCAGGGGCCATGCAGTCCAACTCTGTGCATGACAAACTCCCTCGTCGGTGAGCCTCACCCACCACTCGAATACCCATCATTTATATTCTATTAACGTTCAATGGTATTGTGGAGAGAAAAGAAACGCGTCGCGAGAAAGAGAAAAAAACTTGACAAAATTCGGCCAAGGAAGCTCTCCCACGGGTGCTTGCAGCACTGCGCTTGCACCACCCCATGCCCTCGCAACGTAAGGCAGAGTTACCACATCCAACACTCAGAGTCCCCAGCAGCCACACTATTCTCCATCTCCGACAATCTTCAGCAATGGTGCTACACACTTTTATCATACCTCGTTCACCACTCAGACCATCTTTTTTTCTATTGATATACAAAGGTATTGTGGCGAGAAAAGAAACGCATCGCGAGAAACAGAAAAGAACTTGGCGTAATTTGGCCAAGAAAACTCTCCACGGCTTGCAATACGCACATGTCGCCGAGCCCAATAAGCAGGTGCCAGCACCCGCCCCGGAACTACAACCCCACGCGAAGAACTCTACTTCCGTCCTCAGCGAGTGGTGCGACTCGTATTCGTACCAAAGCGGCGCAGGCGGATCGCCACTGGTGTCCCCGCCCCCCGCGAACCTTGGCTGATGCGGGAGAATTCCACTCCTGTCCCCCTTTCACCTCATCCACCAAACTAAGCCGCAATGGCCGAAAACGACGGCCAAGTGATTGGGTTCGGGTCCCAACACGCTTGCATGAGTCCAAACAGTTTGTTGGAGGTCTTTTAATAGGTTGTGAAGAATGAAGGTTCAGGGAGAGAGGGGGTGCTAATTCGAGTGGGCCAAGTGTTGGAAACAAAAGAACGTCAGGAGCCTCTGTCATGGGAATGCCGCCCTCACTGAGGAATTCGAAACACGTCATGGCAAAGGCGTACGCACCCACAGGTGGGGACAGTCTTGCGTCTAGCAGCCGTTGTCGTGAACCCGAAATCAGAAACGTGAGCGGTGCCGTGTTCACCCACCAAAACTTTGAGGTCCCTAGCCTCTAGAAAAGTATTGCTTTCCCAGAGAAACTTTCCACGTCCAAAGAATAAAAATGAGGAATGGAATTACCATGAACGGTCGCTCGGCCGTTGCACACGCCCCAAACAACGGCAACACATTCAAATGCCTCAACGAAACCCAATTAGTAAGTTTCTTTTGAAGGTTGATGGCTTCCAGATGTTTGGCCCGTTTGATCTCCAAAGCATTCAGCATTTTTATGGCTGGTATTCATTGAAGAGGTATTTGTTTTGTGGGGGTGATTACTGACACCGCCTCGGCGCTTTGCATTGTCGCCTCTGGCGCCGAGATTGTCAACAAATCTTTTTTCCTTTTTTCGTAAATCACTCACGGATCTCACTCGTTCCCCGCCATATTCGCGACGACATTAAAATATGAACTCAGGAGACAACACCAACAAAGTGAATTTGCGCCCACGCGGAGGACACCCGAAGCTTCCAATCAAGGCGGCAGATGTCTTTACTCCGGTTTGACCTGCCCGGTCATCCAATTTGATTGCACAATCTTATTCTAATACCCAGAATACCGCGGAAACAATTGCTACCAGTGATGCCGTTGGTCCCACGTCCGTAACAAACGCGTCGCCCCCTCAAACACTCGAAGCACGTGCGAGACTCTGCACGCCGAGCCAAGTTAAAAAATCCCGTCAAGATGAGATATTTAGAGCGCAAAAGCCTTTGGAAAATAAGTCCAACGCGCGATCAGAAGAAAAATTGGAGCGGAGCATGGAATTTGAAACTGTGAAATCGCAGGTATTGATGCTTGAAAATTGTAACTCTCATACTCTCATACGCGCTAATACTGGCATCAGTTCGAGGGAAAGAGTACAGAAAACTTGCAGTTTTCTTCCAGTCTCAATTTGAAAACCGCGTCCTTGCAAGTTGAGTCGAAAGTACCCGCCCCATCGGCCTCTCACACGCAAGCCAGCCCACAAACTGCATCCGATCTACCGCAATTAGAGGTTTGATTGTTTTTGCTTTGATTTGAATGCGAATATTCAACGTTTTTTTTGAAAGATCGAGGAGGCCAGAATATCAGAATCGCAAGTGCCTGCTGAACAGCAAATCAAGGTCGTAGTACCAAAAATCGAGGTGTGTTGGCTTCCTCCCAACATATAAGTAAATTATTAAATTGGTCCACTCAGATTCCGCATGAAAATGAGATCGCCCAAAAAAAAATTGAAGTAAAAGAAGCGATCTCATCGCACGATGTGAAATACAAGCCTGAATTGGTTCCAGTAATACAACAGAAAGAATATGCGACTGTTCTTGAGGTTTGTTTGTTCTCCCGTGAATGCCTAAAAATTAAATCGACCTTTCAACAGGTCCAAAATGCGGATTTTCCAGCCGAAAGCTCCAACTTTTCAAACCAAAAGACAATTAAGCGACAAATCACACAAGAACAAAAAAATTTGGCCTCTCAGATTTCCGATCTCGAAGCCCTCATCAATTCACTGAAAAGCGCACTCGCCCTCTCACATCAGCATAATTTAGAGCTTCAAGTCAAAGTGGATACCCTTAAGCCCGAAGTCACGCCACAGAATGAGATGGGGTCGAACAACACTTCAGCGATTGTAGCAAAATGGGAATGGATCGAGCAAAAGCATGCTTCCATGATGCTCGAATATTCGAATGCAATTGAGGAGGCAAAATCGGCCACTTCTACTTTGAAAAGTACAGCAGAGTTGCTGAAAGAGGAGAAATCGACCATGATTGAAATGCCAACCCCCGATGTTCCCCAGAATGAAGATCACGAACCTCTCCGTTTCAGTCGAAAATCACGTATTCTGATACTCGGACTCGTTGTATTTTTTATTCTAACCATCTTACTTTTGTCCGTGGCAATTGCAAAATTGTACGGGAAATCGAACGCTGCGGTTGATGAAAATGGGACAGCGTCTGGCAATGATGGAGCTGCTTCCACCATGTTTGCATCATCAACCTCAACCACTTTATCAGTATTTCCTGTAGTGCGTGTAGTGAATGCAACAGCAAATCCTACTGCAACATTGATAACACAAACAGCAGCAGCACCTTCCACTACAATCACAATGGAAATCACATCTGGAAACACTTATGCTTCCAGCGAATCCGCGAGTATGACCGAAAGCGCCATGCATTCGCTAGCTCCTGGAGCAACTACAGGACCTCTGATTTCAATGTTGGACGCGACCTCATCAAAATCGGGTGCCGTCACAACAACTGGATCCGCAACATCTTCTGGAAACCAAAATATCGGCCCTTCAAGCTTTGTCGCGACTTCAACAAAATCTGGTGCTTTGAAAACAAACTTTTGCAATCCGATATATCCGATCAGTCCGTCAAACCCATGTCCATTGAGGCCAGTACCTTCTTCACTTTTGGTTATAGCCAATGGACCCATTCCCGTACCGTCTCCTCTACCCAGCTTCAGTGGAAACGCGACACAAATGACAGCATCATTTTCTGATTTGGTGCGATCAATCGCGCTGTCTATCCCGTCCGCTCCTAAAAATATGGATGGCTCAAGTCAGACCGCTTCTGCTCTTGTTCAAATAAGTCTCCCACTCGCGGTGAATTCACGTGTTCAATTTGCAGCCCCTCCAGCACCCCCTGTGCAGCCTGGAATCAACACTGTCCACATCCACTTGGTGGCTATTATTTCCTCGGGGTTGACTGTAATTATCAATTTTTTGACGTCGCAAAGAATGCTCATAAATTTTGCAGTTTCAGGGAATCCCTTCTGGCGCGAACGTCCAGACTTACAACAACGCGAGCTCCACGAACATTGAAATTTCGTCCATCGAAAACGGAATAGAATTCACATTTGCCCTCGGGAGTTACGTCACGAGTATGTGGTATGCGCTGGCTTTAAGCGCTGACTCGAAGACTCTGGCTGTCTCGTTTTACTATGGAAATGAAGTGTTGGGAAATATCAATTTCGCCGTCTCGCTGCTTTCATCACACCAGCGAAAGAGGCAAGATCTTGGGATATCCATGGTTCTTGGATATATTTCCCTCTCTTCGATTTCACAGTCAGCCACGATTGAGGGAAGCTCAATTACTTCACAAACCTTTTTGGGAAACCCCCTCAGCTCAGTCACTTCGTGGACGACCCTAAGTATAATCACTTCGGAAAACCTGCCTGCACCCACCCCTCCCGCTTCTTTTTTGAGTATACAAGCTTTGTTGAGCATGACGCCATCCACTTCCACCATTTTTGACACATCTTCCGCCTCACTTGCCAACACCACTGCAATCAGTTCAAAAAATTTGGGTACCATCAGTGCGAGTAAAAGCGCGTCGACTAACTCGATAGCTCTCTTGGCGTCGGAATTGACCAGCATTATTTCCGATTCTCGCACCGCAAGTGCACATCCTAGTGCAAACTCGCAAACTAGTTTTACATCCACCGGCATGTCCATCGCCAGTACCGTCATAGCCTCTGAGACGACCTTGGTCACCGCTTCAGCATCAGCTTTGACAACCACGACCACACCGAGTTCTTCGGGCAGCACGAATATCACCGCTTTTACAACTTTAGCTAACAATATAACGAGCGCAACTACATCCGCGACCTTGGCCACTCAATCGACAAATTTGGTCGG